CCCCAAAACCCCAAAACCCCAAAACCCCGTAAAAATAAAATAGCTGATAAATTATTAAATTAAATATAATTAATAATAATTCAAATTCAAATATTCCCTCATTTCCATAAACTTTTCATTGCAAATATTGACATTGAAAAATGAATCAAAGAAAACCATATAACACATAATACTAATTTTACAAATAAAACGATTCAATGCTCAATAACTCGAAATTCTCAAACGAGATCTAGAAAGGAGGGAGTCCATAGTAATCAACTGTTCCTCCTCCAATTTAAGATTCAATAGATCAGCTAAAGCACTTACTTAAAAAGATCAAATTCAACAGACAACTTCATTCTAAAGAGTAAGCAAATTTTTATTTACGTTTATGTAATATTTGATATAGCTTTTTGACTGGTTCGATCTCTGTTTATATTCCTATTATTCATTACTCCTTGCTGATATATTCTAAGCTAGTGACAAAATTTATTGAATAAAAAGGTTATATTTTACAAACTAAAAATGATCATCAATTTATGGAAGATGTCTATAGCTTACTTGATAAGCATTTCACCTATAAGGTTCCACTGAGCTTGAACCAATTTTTCTTAAATGGATTTATTGACTAAAAGATCGGGTTTTGTATTGATTTGATAAAAATGGTAAAGAATAAGCATCAAATGCTAAGCAAAAGAAGCTCAAGTGTAAAAGAAAATATTAATCATTATGAAAAAAGTGAAAGGCATTCATTAGGAGTAAATAACGGTATGCATCATAATGACGAAAAAATAGATTTACAACTGCAACAATAAGTAAATATTACGAAGAAACAAAATAATAAGGCTAATGAAGCAAACATGAGAGGCACTAAATCAGTCAGATTCTTAGAGTAGCAAAATAAAGCAGTGAATGGTGAAAAGGTCATATCACAGGAGCCTCTGAAAGATAAGAGAAACTTTACCAATATAAACTCAACAATTGACAGTTCTATGGATAAATCTAAGATTTCATTTATTGAAGTTGACAACTATCTCAAAAGAGCAGGGAGTCCATAGCCTACAAGTACTTATGAGTAAAAAAGACACTCAATGGGTGCAATATTGAAGTCCAATAATAAGCAAGGGAGTGATCAATTAACAAATATTAGACCACCTGCTCAGAATGAATCTTGCCCAGTAACTACTAGAGGAACTGAAAGCTTTAAATAACCTCTGTAGCTCTTGATTAATGATCCAAAGACTGATGCTATGAGAGATATTGGTGGTAAAATTGAAAGTTAAAGAAGTGACAATTCTAAGAACATCGTATTCGAAACCTAATCAAAATCTAATCTTAAAGCATAATAAGATAAGCACACTTAGCCATCAAGTAGATCTAAGCATAGTGAATTTCAATAAAAAGAAGGAGGGCATTAATAATAGAGTCATACGCACTTTGAATATAAAACTTACAGTAATTATCAGAGTAAGTAGTAAAGCAGCAATCCTTAAACAAGCCAGCCTAAAACACAAGTTTATGATTAAAACAAATAAATCGAACTCTTGATAACTAGAAATAAAGATTTAGAAACAAAGGTAACTTAGCTTCATGATTCAGTAAGAGTGATAATTTAGAATTTCTAAACTTTCCAAAATTATGTGGAGGACAAGATAAATTAACTTGAGGTAGAGAATACAGATCTAAAAAATAGACTTCTAAATAATGAGAAGCAAAGACTGCAATCAGATAGATCTAATTCATTAATATCTCCACTTCAATCGAAGCCTAGCATTGATTTTAGAACAAAAGAGGATAATGGGGTTACTAACTTCAAAAAAGATTCATAAAAAGTTGAAACTCTTTATTCGCAGTATTCCAGTAGATATCGATCAGAAAAGAGATAGACTACTCAAAATAGTGGAACAATTGATAATACTAAGAATATACAAATTCAGCCGATGTCATAGCTTGACAAGTATGACAGCAATAGATATCTTGATGAAGAATACCTTCAAAATTTGAGAAAGAATTATTCTCATTTAGGTGGAAGTAATGGATTCTAAAGTAATAGAGTAACAGAAAAATCTGAGAGAAAAGATGACTTAAATGGTTTGAGAGCCACTGGTGAATTCAGACCCTTGGATGAAAAAAATCACCCAGGTGTTGATAGAAAGCTATAACATAAAAATATGTCAAGTTCTTCAGGATTTGCAGATTAAAAGAGACAATCTTTCAAAAGAGGTGAAAGGCATATGTTCTCTGAGGTATCAATGAACAATATAGAAAATACATTTGGAGGAGGGGCTGCAAATCAAGCTGCAAGAGTCGACTCATAAAAGAATATGGGCTCAGATTTTGTTTCACTTAGAAGTAAGTCTAATGAGAGGGATAGCGTAAATAGAGGTTCTGCAGGGGCTGAATCTATTGCGAATAGATGGGCTTAGAGCAGACCAAGTTATTATCATCATTTATATCAAGATAGAGAGACAGTTAAAAATCAATAAAGATTAGGTTATGAAGAGCAAAGAAGGAAACTATTAGCCAATAGATATGATTGAGAGCAGAAACTTCCCCAAAATAATTATGAATAATCTATATATTAACTTAATATTATTGTTGCTATTTATAAATCAACTTAAACTCCTTTTCATTATTTATAAGTCTCTTTAAATATTCATTCCCCAAAAAAAACAAGAGAATTGAACTTGAGGGGTTTTGGGGTTTTGGGGTTTTGGGGTTTTGGGG